ACCTAGGGGTCAGCAAACTTGCAGGCAAAACTGTCTCCATCTCAGGTACTCAACTCTCATTATGGCATGAAAACATCTATCTCCTAAATGAACAGGCATATCTCCATCTCAATAAAATTTTATTTACAAAACAGGCAGCAGACTGGATTTGGCCAGTTGGCTATAGTTTGCCCATTCCTGCCTCAATCCCATCACCTAGAAATTCTTTACTTTTCGCAATCTCAGCCAAGAATATTACCTCTTTCCAAATTTACCAAAAGATCGCTGTGCATATTGCTGACAACATACCAATTCTCTGTAGTTAGTTCAAAGTCCCAGTGGCAATGGAGCAAATGCTGAATTAGAACCCCTTCCCCAGACCTACTTAGAGCATTTTTCGTCAGCGGCATGCCTCAGGTTCCATCTAACTAAAGATCTTTATAATCAGCCGCCCCTTATTTTTAAGTTACTCTTTAAAAACAAGTTTCAAGGGGCATCTGAAAGCAAGTACTTACAATTTTGTTGGTAAGTAGGCTGCAGTGTCATCTTTATTTCTGATAATATCATTACATTTTTCAAGTGTTTGAAAAACAGTGAAAGTGTCCCCAATGCTATAAAGGGCTGCAAGATTTTTAGCTAACAATTTTCGTGTAGGTGGTCCAGGTGAACTACTTATTAATCCAGTTAATTGTTCAACAAGTTTTTTCTGCTTTTCCTTTACGTCAGTCTGTTATAAAAAAAATAAAGAACAGGATCAGTTTTTTTTATATGTATTTTTGTTGCCTTTAGTCAAAATAAAAAAATACTTAACAGTTAAGGTACCCTAATAATTAAAATCTATATTACATTAGGCATAAAACTATAAACAAGCATTTTCAAGATGAGTTCAGTAAGAAATGAACCATTCTTTACCAGATTAAATATTCTTTCATTCTCCTCCAATGTCAAAGAGTTAGCTACCAATAAAAGTGACTACTCTAGACCCAAAGTTTCCATACCAACTTACTAAGAAATAAACCAATAGTCCAAAGATGTAAAATATTGGGAGTATGGACAACTGATGTCTTAGAACCCAGAAAGGCTCCCTTTAAAAGCAAAGTCAGCAATCCAAAAATTCATAGGTCAGTGAAGGAAATCATAAGAAACTCTGAAGAGCCCTAGACAACAGAAAAAATATTCAGATCTACCCATGATCAATACCAAAAATTCATTCATTCATTCAAGAAATACTTATTGTGCACTTATATGCCATACACTATTCCAGGTAACAGTGAACACAACAGACAAAGTCTCTGCCTTCACAGAGTTTACACTTTAGAGGGGAGATACAGAGTTTATCAAAGAAACAAATAAATAGTTTGAGTTCTTACTATTTTACACAGGTCAGTAAAGAAAGGCCTCTCTGAAAAGAAGTGAAGGCATGAGGTTTGCAAATACCTGGGAGAGGAATGCTCCAGGCAGAGACCTGGATGTGGCAGCATGCTTAATAAGTTGGAGGACTGCAAGAAGGCTAGTTTGGCTGGAACAGAGTAAGAGACAGAAAGTAAAAGATAAAATAAGCATAGAAGGGACCAGACTGTGTAGTGTCTTATACATCATTATAAGAACTTTGTGTTTTATTCTGAGTGAGAAGTTGATGTAGAGGTGATAAGTGATCTAAATGTTTTAAGATGCTCATTCTGACTACTGAGCTAAGAATACTCTACAAGGTACGTGTTGGAAGCACGGTGAGTACTTAAGAAGCTTTCACAATAATCCAGAAGAAAGATAAGAGTGTTAATAACAGAGATGATGAAAAGTAATTTAATTCTGAATATATTTAGTGGATAGAACCAATAGGATTTGCTGATGAATATGATGTGAAGTTTCAGTAAAAAAGAGAAGTCAAAAATGCCTCTAAGGTTTATTAACAGAGCAACTAGAAGGGTGAAATGGTCATTTCCTGAGATGAAGAGAATTGGGGAAAGGACAGGTTTATGAGGAGGAAATCAAGAATTTGGTTCTAGATATCCAAGAGAAAGCGGTAGATCAGCTTGTTGGATATCTGGGAGTCATTCTTGCAAAGATGGTGGTAAAATTCAGGCAATTAGATAATATCCCTGAAGGAATAAGTATCAATAGATTTTTTTTAAAGTGCACAGAACTGAAAAAGAGCCAACAACAACAATGACAAATAAGGAGTAATTAGTGAAGAAGAAAGAGAACTAAAAGAAGTTATGTTTTGGGAATCACAAATAGGAGAACCTTAACACTACGTATGCATCGACAGTAATGAAAACAATCAATTTTTTAATTGGGGTGGAAGGTGTACAGATGTTAATATTATGCTTCATGACTTAGATAACTTTATGTACTCTTTTGTACTTTTTAATTTCACAACAAAAAATATTTTAAGTGTTTCAAGGTAGAAAATCAACTATGTCAAGTCAATTGGGGCAGATTACTGACCATCGATTTGGGCAATTTGAGATCACTGATGGACAAGTGCTGTTTCAGTAGAGTGATGGCGACACATACTTAACTGGAGGGGGTTAAGAGAAAATAGAAACTTCTAGTTAAAGAAACCCTACTAAAACTATACTAAAGGGCAACAGCAACAAAAGCACAAATCCACAAGTATAAAGAAAATCAGAAAAGAATCAATGCGAAATATGGAAGCCAGGTATCCCCAACAGGGAAAGCTGAGAAGAGACCTAAATTAAAGAACCCTCTAAAAGTTCATACTTGTTTTGTTGTTGTTTTCAGGCTCTAGGTGTTTATGGAGGAGTAAAGTTGTGCCTAGAAGAAATGGTTGAGAACCTAAGAAGCTATAAGACTCCCGCACCTCTCTCCACCATTCTGGACTTAAGGAGCTCAGGCACAGTTGTGGGCTATGAAAACTGCATTGAAAACAAGGGAATTAAATGAAAGTTTGCATACTGAACGTTGAAGTCCCAGCACCCTCCTTCACTTCTTAGAACCTAAGCAGCTAGCCATATACCCTAGGACAGTGGTCCCCAACCTTTTTGGCACCAGAGCCGGTGCTCCTGTGAAACTCCAATGCCTGATGATCTGAGGTAGAGTTGAGAAGGTGATGCTAGCACTGGGGAGCAGCTGCAAATACAGATGAAGCATCCTTTGCTCATCACCCTGCTGCTCATCTCCTGCTGTGCAACCCAATTCCTAACAGGCCACCGCCCAGTACAGGTCCGCAGCCCAGGGGTTGGGGACCTCTGCCCTAGTAGAAAAGTCTCTTCTGGGGAATGACTAGCCAAGAGAAACTTAAGATATTAACATCAGAGGTTCCTCATAAAACCAGACTAGCCTATGGTGAAGCTCAGTTAACCACCCTGCCCAAAAAACTTTTCACAGCTAACTTAAATTTGAGCGGACAGCCAAAGATTGGCAGATGTTTGAGGAAAGTATCTAATTTTAAAGACAGAAAAGAAAACACACAGAAAATGAAAAGCGACTTGGATGAAATAGACTATGTAGGAAGAAGAAAACAGAAAGTAAGAAAAATCTATTATTTACGCCTTTGAAAGATAAATGAAGATATTGGGATTGCTAGGCAGCACTGAGGGACCACCTGAAGTTGCAGATAATGAATTTAAGGTCGCATAATCATGTTTTTCTCCAGTCACAATTAGCTATCCAAGTAGAGACTTGAAGTAGGCAACACGGTGGATTTAGAGGAAGTTTGAGTTTTGCCACAGAATAGAGAAAGGACAGACAAGAAACTCCTATTACAGTATAATAGTCTCAAGTTCCATTAGTGACCCATGGAACTTGAGACTATTATACTGTAATAGGAGTTTCCAAAACATGTGTTTTCTCACAGATCATGAACACATAATATTCTCCAGTATGTTAACACAACTGGGGGAAAAAGAAAAAAAAAACACCATACCTTGTTGGCAGCAACCAAGACTTTATCAAGAAATCGCAACCATTCAAAGATAAATACTGGTCTCTTTGCTTCAGTGATTTGAGCCAAAGCTTCTTCATTTAGCAATAAACTGTGGGCTAACTCCATTACTGAAGTTTTAAATTCACACCTTAAAGTAACAAATTAAAAAATACTCGTAAAATTTTTTTAATGTTGCAAGTCAAGCTTAATAATATAACCACTAAGAAATGAAAAGTCAGACTTCTCATTTCATTAGGAGGAAACTGACATAACTTCTTGGAGGCAAAATCTAAGAACTGATTTTTAAAAGACAAGGGTAACAACAAAAAAAGAAAGAATAGAGTAAAAATATTTTTTAATAAATATTGCAAATAAGGCCCTGTTCCAGAACAAATACATCTAGCAAAACATGTCATTAATCCTTTTCATAAACTGGAAAACTGAAAGCACCAAGATCAAACATCAGCTGAGCCTGACTGAGCACTCAGCCTTCTTTTTTCTAGTCCACTGCTAGGTGCACAGCACCCTTACCCCTCCCCTGGCCCAGAAATACATCAAAACGCCCCAGTTAAACGATCCCACACTGGTAGTCTCCAAGTGTCTTCCTATAGGGAAGGGATGGGGGTGGACAGCTCCCGGCGGCCGAAGCTTCAGTGACAACCCTGGGCGGTCCGAAAATGCAACACGCAAAGGCTGCGCTCGCTGCGGGTCTGGGTTAACAGGGGTACTCCAAGGACCACAGCGGAGCTCCAGGCCTGGGGGAAATATAAGAGGTCGTCGCAGGCCTAGGGTTACTCGGGCTGTCAACACCAGGAGGTGCGGGCTTGGAACCGAGTCCGGCGCTTGAAAAGGGAAAATGTTCATTACGAACTCGAATTTCCTCCTCAGCCCTCTGAAGACGAACAGGGGGCCAGGGGCGTGTACGCGCGTCAACGTGCATGCTTCGGCGGTAGATGGGGTGGCCTCACCTCCTGGTCTGGCAGGGACCGATCTAGTGAGCTCCGGGGCCAGAAGCAGCCGCCCGGGGACCCGGATGCTCCACCTCCTGCACTCCTGCCGGCAGGAAACGAGAGGAGAGCGCGTGCGCGGAAGGTGGTCATGCGCAAGCGCACTAACCACGTCCTCCGAGCCCTGCCTGCCGCAGGTTTCCAATAGCTTCTGCACACCGGAACTCAGGTGGAGCAGAGACCCAGAAGTCCTGCGCTGTTTGGTGAGCGTGTACGCATAGCGCAATCTCGCGTGCTGGCCCGGGGCGAACAGAGCTGCCAGGTAAGGGGCTGGAGGTGCTGACTAGACTGATAAAGGGCGGTGATTTGCGTGTTGGTTGTGACTACCCCATGACACCATCACCCACATTCCCACCTGTGAGTGGTCGCGTCTGTGGGACGCTTGCAGTCGGAAGGGAAGCGAGAGGGATCAGCGGTCCTTGAAGGGAGTGTTTGAAATTAGGCATTTCTTGTCACCTTTCTGCTGTCTAACTACTTAGCCCCTCTCTCCACTATGATGTGTAGTGAGACTCTCAGCATGTCTGAAGCAACACTCTTTTTGCTACCTCCCCGCCCTCTCTCTACCAAAAACAAAACAAAACCTGCTACTACAGTCTTACCCCTCTCAAAAACTGTTAACTCCATTCTTCCAGGTATTCAGACCAAAGCCTTTGCGTAATCCTTGACATCACCTCCAGTACATTAGCGATTCTTGTTAGCTCTACCTTCAAAATATGCCCAGAATGCGACCACTTCTTACCACTTCCACTGCGGTCCCTGTAGTCCAAGTCACCTTCATCTCTGCCAGGATTATTGCTTTGTGAAGTTTATCCTTATGCTTTATGAGAATGGATGATGCTGAAGTATTATTGTACCCATAAAACGAGAGTTTTAAAAAGAATCTGTAACCCCCATTCAGATCTGCCTAGCACTTTGGAGCTCAATGGTTTCCTTAAAAATAATCTTATTCCCAGTAGCCAGAGTCCTAAAACCTGCATCCGTTGTGGTGTTGAGCAGGTCATTTAGCTATACTGACCCTTAATTTCTCCAACTAGAAAGCAGGACTAACTGTGCTATTACCTGTAAAATGGTTAATGATGATTAAATGGGATAAAAATGTGTGGTATACTGGGTAAGTGCTAAACCATTACGTGTAAAAATATTATTATTACAAATGAATCTGAGGTTTAGAGACAGTGGGTGAATTACCACAAATGCTGTATATAATCTTCCACATTTCTAATTTATTATATTA